CACCACCTGAACAAAAAGTAAACCTTCCATTCAACCCCTGAATGCTGCTGAAAATTATTTTTTTTTTTTTTGCCAGCTTTTACAGTCCACAGCCTTCTCATTCAATCCTGAATAATAGCTCTGAATCGAGCTGTAAAAGCTTCCGAAGTTTGAAGTCTTTTGACAAGTTAATTTAGCTGTATGGTAAAAAGTTTTTCCCCCAGATAGAATAAAGCCATCATCTCATGAATGTAGGAGTCAGCCAAGGGAAAGAAAACACCATTAGGATTAGAAATGATGGGCTTTATGGAGATAGTTTGTGGTTTAGTGTAATCTACTATCAATATTTCAGTAGAAAAATATCCTAGTAGTCATTCAGCTGCAAGTCAGGATCTTCACGTAAAACCAACACCCAGGGGCCAAGCTGATATATTTTTATTTATATATATATATATATATATTTTCTCCTTTGTTCCTTACATTTATTTAGATTTTAATTGGGTTTCACCCTGTATGATGTCTTTTTGTTTTGTTTTGTTTTTCTGGTTGAAAGAGACAGAAGAGAAAAAAAATGAATCAATATTTCCCCCGAGGTTCCCACTATAGAGAGACACACCCCACGTTTTTCTCCCAGCAGCTGCCGTGGAGGAAAATTCAAGGAACTAAATGTCATAAATTGATACATATTTCCCTTATTTTTACTATTAAAAATCAGAAAACAATCACTGGTTAAGCAAAGTGAAATCCAGCAATTATTGTAGCCACGACTTCAGCAAGATTCAGTATTAATTTTAGACTTATTTCTTGGTTTTATCTAAATTTAAGCCTTTGTGTGCTACTAAAATTGACTGAAGTAAAAACACAGTCGAAGGGGAAAAGAGACTTCTTTCATACTCTTAATTCTTCCCTTTAATCAAGAGGGATGATGACACAGTAAGAACTTTTGGACAGTGGTTTGTAATGGCCACAGAATAATTCTTCTCTGCATAAAAGAATGATGGTCCTTGTGGATCCCTTCCAACTCAGGATATTCTATAATATAGTTGAGAGCAAAGCTGCTAAATAAATAGGAAACTTAGAAAATCCAGAAAAATCAAATTTTAGCCAGGAACTTTAATGTAAAAGTGCATTCTACTTAGTCATTGTAAAATGACTGCCATAACAATCCAATCAGCAAAAAAAAAAAAATGGGGAGGGGGAGGGAAAGTAAGCATGGGGAAGAGAGCAAAATTTACACTGTGACCTTCACTTTGAGCTTCACTCACTCCTTGCTTTCTTTTCCCCCCAAGTGGGGGACAGGGACTCGAGTTTGCCCAAACCAACAGCAATAAGTTGTTTCTCAGAGTCTGGCTCTTATTGCTTCAGAGTTTAAGCTTTTCAGGCCTTGAGTGCTGAAGACTTGATGAAGTGTTGGGTGTGCAGACAAGCTGGAAAGTGGCTTTTACAGCCAAAGCCAGGCTTCATCAGCCTCAAAAGTGGAGGAGAACCACCTTGTTCTCCTTCACAGCTCCACTGAGCCAGGCAGGACTGCTCAGGGGATGGATTTGGCAGCACGGGAAACAAGAAATGTTCATCTCTGCAAGAGGTGTTGTACCAAGATAGAAAGAGGAGTCCCAGCTGGAGCAAAATTCACCAGGAAAAACAATACAAAGCACAAAAGTAAAGGTACTGGGGTGGCAAACACAGGAGTGGGGCGATGTGAATTGAACATTCTCTGCTCCACGTTGGTTTGCTGGGGTTTGGGTTTTCTTTTGATGGCAGGAAGGAGGAAATAACGTGCTGAGGGAAGGATAGAGAACAGATGGGAGTGGGAGATAAAGCAAAGAAGGGTGATGGGTGGGACAGGAAAACCAAGGGAGAGGAGGGATGAGGACTGTTGGATCAGGACGAAGAAGAGGGAGCAGTCACCAGGGAGGGACTTGTGTCTAGGTTTGACTTTCTCCAAGGAACCGAGTGGCACCGGGACTTGGACTGGGTCCTTGTTGTCTAGGCTCCAGAGGAAGTTCCTCTTGGCTTTTTTCCTCACTTTATCCTCCTTTTTTTTTTAGGCCATGGAGAGGCAGGATCAGAGTGGAAAGCTGAGACACCTCTTTTACTTTCAGCAGCTCCGTGTGACTAGAGAGGGAAATTAAGCTGGAGTGTTGTGATGGCTGTTTCCTGCTTAAGAACATAAAAAATGGAACCATTCCTGACAAACAAGGAGTTCAGCTAAAGATGAAGTGGAGGTAGGCGGGAAGTTCTGTAATTGCTTTTTATTTAAATCTTTATGAATTAGCTCTGCCAAGGTTGGGGTTTTTTTTTTAGATTTTTATTTTTTGCTTGAAATGGCTTCTGAGTAAATTTTTCAGCTGCAATTACAGTAAAAACAGACTATATACAGCTATAGCCAATATGTTGGATTTAACATATAGGAAGAATCCTTTTCCTTGTGAATCTCTGAGGTCTAATTTACATGAAGAATGACAAAGGTTTAATTTTCTGTCATTATGCACAGGTTAGCCTAGACTGGATATTAATAGAGACACATAATTCACACCCACAGCCACTAGTAGGGTATCAATCAAATTTTGAAGATAAAACTTACACTCCCTGGCAACTTTTAGGGCACAGTTTTCTTCTCTTGTTTCCTCTTTTGAAACTACTTCAGCGGCGCAGAGAGGGACCAGGTCTGCAGTTCAACATCCAGCCCTTAGTGATGGGGGAATGGGGACAGGGGACACAGGTAGGGCTGTGTTTAGGAGCTTCAACCGCCAGTTAGGCAAAATACTGGTTGTAACCCATGTTTGGTGGGTTTGGGACTAAATTCTGAAGTGGAAATGGGGACAAGAGAGGGCAGACACTCACCTGGCTGCCACAGGTGGGTCCTACACTGACCACCCAGCATCGGATTCCTTAGCAAATATTCCCTTGTCACAGCTGGCATTAGTCACCTTCTAGTCCTAAAGGCCTTCCACCCATAGGTCTCCCGACACTTAAAAATAATTTAAAGATTATTTATACACACTTCCATCCATCTATCTGAGCACGCGAGCTGGCCCCGAATACTGAGAGCAGAACAACCATGCGAGGAAACCTAAAACCTCACCAACCAAAGAACAACAAACAAGCCCACGAGCCCACAGGAGCTAAAAATGAAACAAAAAGGGCTTCAGCTTGAGGTGGAAGCAGTGTTCTTAATGCCAGTGGTGTTCTCAGGTGGGTATCACAGGGAGAATAGCCCGAAATTTTGGGCTCCAGGGCAGGCCATGACGCCTGTAGGCTCGAGCTTAGAATAATCAGAATGTAATGTTTGCAAGTTGACAGGAATAAATTAATCTCTTAAAAATAAAGTAAGATGGAAAGCTAAAGTTAAAGGGATGTTATTGTTGGTAGAACTGTCGGAGTCATTTTGACCTCTGCCAACACTAGGCTAGAGAATCCCAGGACATCCTGAGCTGGATGGGACCCACAGGGATCACAGAATCCCAGAACAGGTTTGAGTTGAAAGAGACCTTAAAGCTCATCTAATTCCAACAACCTGCCATGGGCAGGGACACCTTCACTAGACCAGGTTGCTCCAACCTGGCCTTGAGCACTTTTAGGGATGAGGAAATTATTGATGGATCATCCAGTCCGGCTCCTGGCCCTGCCCAGGACACCCCAGCAATCCCACCCTGTCCCTGAGGGCGTTGTCCAAACACTCCTTGAGCTCTGGCAGCCTTGGGGCCGTGCCCACTGCCCTGGGGAGCCCGTTCCCAGCATGGGGAAAAAAGCAACTGTAAGGGTCGGATCAATATTCCAAGGATTTTTCTAAGGGTGGCCCTTTCAAACGAAAACGTCCCAAAAAAGTCAAAGGAAAAAGGAGCAGTGTTTCTATACTACCACATACATGCAAATTTTGAGGGAGGGACAGAGTTGTTAGCGATTCCCATCAGGTCCCAGAATTTATGTAAATCCAGATGGCTGAACGACACGAGTTCATTTTTTTTCTTTAAGGGAAATCTGGAAGTTTTAAAAACAATTTAGCAAGAGCCAATTAATCAAACGCAGCAGAAGCGGGCTGGGATGGCTGCCTACGAGCGGGAATGTCGTGGTTCAGCTTCCCTCAGGCGAGGATGGGAAGAAACTCCTCGGAAGCTTTAGTGGGAAGTCCCTCTTCCACTATCCCAGGTTGGCTGAGCAAAGCCTCATCCAACCTGGGCTTGGAGAATTCCAGGGATGGGGCATCTCTGGGAAAAGGGGATGAGTATTTAAAGCATCTCAGGTGGGATGTTCCCATGGGATCCCGTCTCACTTTCTCGCCCGAGTTGCTGAAATTATTTTGCTTCCCATGACCTGGAATGTTTGAAGCGGGACTTGGGAGTTTCAGGCAGTGCATTAATCGAAGTTCAATGGGGTAACTCCTCAGAATACCAAAAAATCAGTTAAATGTTGAATGGTTGAAAGGAAAACAGAGGTAGAGGTAAGTGCGGGACAATTCCTTTTTATGTTTGTTTATTTATTTATTGACTCTTGGCAATTCAGGCAAAGATTTTGAACCATGCCCCGCCCCTTTTGCCTTTTTATCCCTCATTTCAGCAGTTCGCCGGTCTTATTGACGACGTTTGACGGATAAAACAAAACAGCCCTTCGGGATTGGGTGCGGAAAACCGGGTCAAGAAAAAAAAGTTTCCTGTTTGATTACGGCACCGTGTATCTAGCAGGGATTGTACTTCGTGTGGGCTGCCGTCCCTCCGCGGGGTGCCAAGCCCCGTGCCGGGCTCCTCAGGGACGCGGATCCCGCTCCCATTCCCGGACCCCCGAGGGGCCGCGGGCGCAGCGCCAACATGGCGGACCCGGCCCGCCCCCCCGTTGCCGTGGCGACGGGCCGCGCGCCACGGGGCGGAGCCGGGCGGGAGCGCGGGGCGGGGCCGGATTGGTTCCCTTCCCCCCGCTGGGCTATAAATAACCCGCGCGTCCTGATTGGCCGCGGCGCGAAAATGGTTGCGCCACGTGACTACCCATCTGGGGGGGTGGTGGGGGGGGAAAAAATAAATTCCAAGATGGCGGGTCCCGTCACGGGCTGAGTCCGTCGGTGGCGCGCTCGGCGCCGGGGGGGGAGCCCACCGCCGCGCCGCTTCCCCGCCTCGTCCGCCGCACAGGTCAGTCCGCGGCGCCGCCGCCCCCAAGGCCGTACCGGCGCCGCCCGCGCCGCGGGCCCTTTAAGAGGCCGCGCGCGCTGCGCCGCGAGCCGCTCCCGGGGGCCGCGCACGCACCGTGGGGTCGGAGGAGGAGGGGGCGAGGGGCGGGAGGAGGAGGTGACGGGCAGGTGGCGCAGCCAATCGGCGGCTGTGGCGGGCGGATTTGAGCTGCGCGGCCCCCCCAGCGTCGCGCGCTGATTGGGCGGCGCGGCGCCGGGGGGGGCGGGGCCCGCCGCGCGCCATCACCGCGGCGCGGGCGTGGCGCGCGGCGGCGGGCGGGGCGCGACCGAGAGGGGGGCGTGACGGGCAGCGCCGTCGCCCAATCATCGCGCGGGGCCCCTGTTTTTTGTGAATGGGGAGGGCGGGGCCTGTTCGCAGGGGGCGGGGGCAGCGCCCGCGCCGGCCCCGCCCCTCCCGGGCGGCCGCGGCTCCGCCTCGTCCCCGGCGGCGGCGGCGGCGCTCGGTCCGTGCGGGGCTCGGTCCGTACGGGGCTCGGCGGGGCGATGCGGGCGGCGGTGAGTGACCGGGAGCGACGGAGCGCGGGGGCCTGGCCCCGGGGGCGGCGGGGCGGGCGCGGCCCTGCGGCGGCGGCGGCGGGGGCGACGCCCGCGGCGGGGCCCTGCGGCGCCGAGCGGGCCGCGGCCCGGGGGTCAGTCCTTCCATCCCTGCCCCCCCTGCCTACTCCTCCCCTTATCCCGGGAATAACGCGGGACTTGCGGAAAGTTTGCGCGCTCCCGCCGGGCCCGCGGCCTCGAACCCCCTCCTTAAAAAAAACGCCAAAAATGGCTTTTTCCTTGCGCCCGGGAGGATTAAACACGGGGTGCGCTCCCCGCGAGCCCGGAGGTGGCAGTGACAGGTCCGAGGCCCAGGGCTGCAGCTTCATCTCCCAAAACTCACCTTTTGGGGTGAACCTTGGGGGGGGGCAAAACCACCCCAAACCTGCACGGCGGGCTAAATGAACCCCAGAGGAGGAGGTTCGAGGCTGGCGAGGAGCGGGGAGGGAGGTGCTGCCCGGCGGCCGCGTGTGGGTTTTGCTGCAGGGATTTATCAGGGAAGATGCTGCGCGATCCCGGCGCTCCCCGGAACGCTCCCCGCTCCCCAAATGTTGTCCCCGGAGCGTCCGCGGCCCCCTGGCAGCTCGGGGGTAAGCAGATGGATTTCCATAACAATCATTTGACGCTGGGCAGCGTCTGGAGGGAAGGGAACCTGCCCTTCGCTCAAAGCACTTGCGTAATTGTGTCGTGCGCCCGTTTGCTGATAGTGGAAGAGGTGCTTTTTTTTTTGGTGGTTTTTTCGCTTGGCAGTAAGGCTGTTTCGGCGGATTCGCATCAATTAGGCTCCTCGCCGTCGCGTTCCAGCCTTGCCTCATATTCCAGGCTGCATTAGAGCTCTAAAAACGCTCCCGAGGAGTGGGGGATCGGTGTTGGAAAGGTGTGGGTGGATTCAGGGTGTGAAAATGGCTTGTTAAAATCTGCGATGGGGCGTGCGGCGGGATATCGGTGCTCTCGTTTCTTACCCGTTTCTTGCCCGTTTCCTCCCCTTTGATCCCACCAGGCACCTCGTTGCCGTGCTCGTTTCCCACAGTTGATCTGAGGCTGAAAAGATGGAGCAAGTATTATTTTGGCCCCGGGAACCACAGCGAATTTCACTCCTGAGGGAATAATCCCCCTGGCCAGTGCATTTTGATTTACTGGTATCACGGCCTGTCAATACATGGGACTCATGCTGCACTCGCTGCCCTCAAAGTGCTTCTCCCGCTGCCAAAAGCTACCTGGAGTTAATTATCTGAATTGGGCTTTTTTTTTTTTTTTTTCTTGTTGTTGTTGTTGTTGTAACGGCAACATTTTTAAAAGCTCGGGAGCTCTGAAGTTTATATAATAATCTGGTTCTTGGCAAGGCTCCGTGGTGGTTTTGTGTGTGTGTGTGTGTGTGTGATGCGGTCGCGGCGCTGAGTTTTAATCGTTTCTGATGTTTCCAGCACCACTGTTTGGAGTTCTGAGCCTAAAAAGCTGCAGCAGCCTCGCTGGGGAAGAGTTGAGGGCACTGGAATTAAGAAAGCTCAGCTGCTTGTATACAAATATACAGCAATTACGAGGCAACAAAGTTATTGCAGAACCCTGCCGTCACCATGGCAACACGCTCACTCAATTACATTTGGAAATGTAAAATGCCACCCAGTTAGAAAGAGTAAGTTTTAGCGACTGCAGATTTTCTGGAGAAAGCGAGATGTGGAAGCTGCGGCTTTCCAGGATTCCGTGTTTTCCTTCTCCTCCCGGCACGTGCGTCCCGCGGATTCCCCTCGCTGATGTTCAGCCGTGCCCTTGGTGGGCAGAACTCGGTGCAAAAAAAAACGCAGCTAAATCTTTTAAGGTCTTAACTTTGCCACCCTCTAGTATTTTTTGGTTTTGCTTCAGGGCTTGGCTTTAGGAAGGGGAAAAGCATTTGGAAAATCACCTCGGAATACCAGAGGAATAGGTCGTTTGCTTAACGGGATCGGAGACAGGGAAGAAAAGCACGTAAAAAGCTTGTGTTCCTTGTATTCCTCCTAAACAGACTGTCCTAAAGTAGAGGAAAACTGGCAGGTGGGAGGGGAAGCAGTGAAGTTCTTGAGGAGCCCAGGGAGTGTCCAGTGAGGAGATGGCAGGTGGAGGATACCAAGATCCTGATGTGGGATGCAGGTGAACTCCTTAGTGGAGCTGAGTTTCACTTGTTATTGCCTTTTGATGGTGAATCGCTGGCAAAATGAAAAAAGGCCATATTGGACAGGGCTTGGAGCAACCTGGGCTGGTGGAAGGGGGATGGAACAAATGGGCTTTAAGGTCCCTTCTCACCCAAACCATTCCATGAGTCTCTGAAAATAGGAAAAGTAGTTTCTCTCATAATCTTTGTGCTGGTGAAGATGCAACTCTGCTGAAAGGGTAAAACCAACATTACAGTAAAACAAACAAACAAACAAGGTAAAAAAACCCCACCAAAAGAGTAAAAACAAACATTAGGTTGTTGTTTTCTTTTTTTTTTGTTTTTTTTTTTTTTTGAGGTAGGAGTGGTGTGTTTACAGACACCTGATGATGCACTCCTGAGGGAGTTACCTGGTAACAGGAGCTGGTAAGAGATGTTTAGGTGGGTGCAGATTGCTGGGGGTTGTCTTGAAGAAATGTGGTTTACCCAGATCCTTAGGGGCTTGAATTCCAAGCTGCCTCCTGAACCCTTGGAGCAGCTGGATTGGGATAGGTTTGCAGGTCCCATGGACCTGTGCTGGGTTAGGGAAGGTTTTGGATGGAAGCTTTGTCCAACCTGGCAGGTCGTTGTGCTTTCACCATGAGCAGTGGCCTTGTGGTTTGCCCTCTCCTCAAAAGCAGCAGCTTGAGCTCATGGGAATTCCAGCCCTTGTGCTTGTTTTTCTCTTCTCCTTCTGCCACAGAATCATGGGATAGTTTGGGTTGGAAGGGACCTTAAAGCTCATCTCATTCAAACCCCTGCTACAGGCAGGGACACCTTCCACTAGCCCAGGTTGCTCCAAGCCTGTTCCAACCTCTCCTTGGACACTTCCAGGGCTGGGGCAGCCCCAGCTTCTCTGGGCAACCTGTGCCAGGGCCTCACCCCATCACAGGGAAGGATTTTCTCGAGTGGAAGCCCAGGAGCTGCCTGTTCATAGCCGCTGGAAAGGTGGAGGTGAGTCTTCACCCTTCAGTCTCATGTTGAGCTGCAGGGGTGAGGAGCTGGACTTGTTAAAAATGAAGGTTAAAACTGCCCAGGAGTCCATGGGTTCAGGGTAGTTAGCCCTCTTAATCCCTCTTTGAAATGGTTTGTACTTTCTATGCAACAGGCCTTCCAAAGCCAGCCTAAGGTGTATCTGTGATCCTGAAACTTGCCCTCAAGATTCATGTGCAGCTTTCAAATCGGGGGAAGCTGCAAACTTTCTACACAGGAACGGGCCCAAACCAAGTGTTGAGACAAAAACTTGCCCCCAAATACATAATATGTGATAGAATCAAATATTCTAGGCCAGTTTTCCTTCCTCTTGCAGTGTTTCATTGCCATGCCTGCCTTTGTAAGTTCAGTGGGACTGGTTGTCCTGGGGTTTTCCAGAGCTCAGCCTGGATATGTGTGGGTTAAGTGCTCTAAGTGTGTGCTGAAGTGATGCTCCCTTCAGGGCATAAAAAGCCGAGTGCTCACTGCCCTGCTGTGCCAGCTGAATCTTGGGGTTAAAACAGTTCTTTATCGTCCTTTACAGTTAAAGAAGTGATTGTGTCACACTCCTTGGTGTTGTGGATATTTGTATTTACTGGAAAGAAGTACTCCTTGGCATTGTGTGTCTATCTATATATATCTCTATGTATAATCTAAGCCCCTGAGCCCTTGGGACTGTATTTTTACTCCTCCTGCATCCATGGGTGAGCACACGCAGTGATGTTACCAGAGGAATGGATTTGCTGAGTGGTATCTGTTGCTGACCTGTTCCAAACAGCAAAGCTTGTCCCAAACCACAAGGAAATATTAATTGAACATGTTATTTGGCCACTGGTAATGACACTCATTAAATATGTGCCAAGTACTCTTGCTGGTTTCTTTGGTGGTGTCATCTCCTACTTCGTTGCTCCAGTTATCCCATCGCTTTCCCGTGATCTTTTTCAATTCTGCTACCTGGTGTACAAGGGTTTACATTTTATCAGTGTCCTGCTGGAATCCTTGGAATTAGTGCTTCTGTAAGAGCGTGTTTTACTGGGCAGAGAAGGTGACAGGATGTGTCTTGCCACTGAATTCACAATTGCTTTTGAGTTTGGAGCCCACATCCCCCCTGGGTGGCTTCTCTTTCCCATTCCCTTTGCTCCCAGGATCCCCAGATCCAAGCACACCAATGCTCCAGAGCAGGCAGAAGGAACCTGGTTCTCCTCACTTGTGGAACTCAGAGGGCTAAAAAAGTTGTGCAAATATGTGTGTTTGCCTCTCAATTTGAGAGC